TATCCGTGGACAGTGTGTGAAGTGGGTGAAGCATAATCACAATACATCTGTTACTGAGAACTCACTACGCGTCATAAAGTAAAGGCAATTGCCATTCAAATGAGGAGTACGGCAGTACTTCACTTAAATGCACTAACGCTTGGATTCAAATGTACGCGTTATGAAGCATTCACATGATTTTCTCACATCTACTCACTTTGATGATGATAGTCATCTATGCCGTGATTTCAGCGTTTTCCATTGATCATAGTCCATTGTGTATTTGAGTTTTATCACATTTGAAATTCAGGGAATTTTGTTACAATTTTGAAATGTGCACTTTGTTTCTGAGAGTTTTTCATACATTAAAGTAAAATGTCGATGTAGGGCACAGTGTCATAATTAAACATAATAATTGTGAGGCAGTATCATGACTCGATTATGTTGAGTATTTCGAGTTCGAAGATCATGAATGGTAGGACAGTGATCACTTAAAATAACCAGTTTATTTGATTTTCAAATAATAGAGATGTTGTTATAGCTGATCTGGATTGAATTGTGTTGATGGTAGAGAAGCTTCTGGTTTCCTTTTTGGGCAAAATTTAGAAACTGAGGATTAAGGAAATTAGAATTCTACGATGATAGGAATTCGAACTCAAGAACCTCTGGCTACAAGGCAAGCTTGTAGATCAATCAACCACTACGACCTGACTCAATGGTCAACCTGTGAATTCTAACCTCTATCAACTCGTGATTTTAACTCGACCATCGACCAATAACATCGGTGGGAACTCCATCCTCTCTACCAGCTGCACCGACCCCTGTAGTCACGACCTCTCACTAAAATTCCAGATATCTTCGTCCTGTTACCGATAAGTAAAAGAGTACGACAAGAGAAACAGCTATTCAGTACTCTCGGCTCGTTTTCACTGGTTCCCTCGCTGATGTGAGTATAAAACTTGATCACAGTGGCAGATCATAACTCCTTTATGGATAAGATTTTATTTTGATCAATCACACAGTGTTATAAAGTAACATTAACTGATAAAGTTTCGAGCACAAACTATTGTTCACAATCAAAATCAGTCTGGCGTGAATGCAAGAATGGAAAGAAAACTTAGCGAATTGGTTCTCTATTCACATGAGAAAATCCTATGTCCCATGATTTACTTACGATCATTGGTGTTAAAGTTAGTCCTGTATGAAGAGGGAATATTCCCCAATTTGATACGCTTAACATTGCTGCACTATGTATCCGAATGGTGTTTGTATTACATAGTATTAATAATACTAATGATATTAGTTAGAAAAGAGTTGAAATCCAAAGAATACCTAATGGAAGCGTTTTGTCCTAGCTTGAGACTAATCAGTAGTACAGATTCGTCAATTTTCGACCTCAGCACCTTCCAGTTACAAGACAAGTTCTTAGAACATGGAGCGAATTTGACCTGATTTAATGGACCATGAATTCCTCCTTTCACAAATACGTGATATGATTGTGGAAATTAATCAGTATCGTCGACGAACACGTGACTTTCCTCATGTCTTGATTTAACTCAGAGACAATTAATTATCAGTAGCGATTGTCCTTAATATTTCGAATCCTCAGTTTCGATTAAACATTCCATACAATCATGTTTTACAGTGCAAGGATATTGGGAATCTCTTTGGAATCGACAACCCACCTCAAATCAGGAAAACATAACACTTAACCACTTGCCATGTTTTATTTATTTTATCAAATTTCAACAGGTCTGTACTTGTCTGAATGGAAGCAGCTATACGTTTGTACGAAAAGACTTATGATTAAAATCCAAACGGCGAAGGCTTCAATGAGTTCTGCGTGTCCATTTCCATACAACAGTATTATCGACCGTCGATTACACAGACAGATGAACATCATCTATAGTGTGAAGAAACAAATTCTACACAGAGAGTATAGTATTCCTGTGTTTGGAGAAATATGCATTGCATAATTATGAGCTCTCGTCTCATTATTCAGTGTGCTGGTTTAATTATGTGCTATGCGTCCTTCTTAAGTTGGCGTCGATCCTATCGAGTTCAGAAGAAGTTAGTTCAGTCACTTTCATCACCTTGGCGATCGTTACATGAATGTGAAAGACTGACAATTTCTTTCTCCCCCTAAGCCTTCTTTCTATAAGTTACCATCGTCCCAATTATTTTATTATTCTGACTACTTCATCGTTAACTGCTTATTACGTAGTCGATTCGAATTCTCATTTACTTCATAATTACCCCTTATCTTTCCAGGATTATGCATTACGCAATCCACTTGTTCAACTTTTGAAATTATTTCTACCCTTCCACTGTTGTATTATCACCGCTTGGCGCATTAAGACTGCCCAAAAACCGTTAACAAACTTATCACTTCTAGGTGGATAAACCCTTTTTTGTATTGTATTAAAAATGCCACATACATTAGAACAGAATCATCAATGGGGGTCTAGTCTCATTCCTTTTGTCTTCTAAGTTTTAGAACTCCATGTTTATGAATTATTCAGTGTTATCGGATGATTGAGACTTTATTTTGTGGTACGTGGAGGCTGCTGAATCTGAAATTCAGCATACTTGTGTGTTTATCAGGATAATATCTTCATATAACTCGAAATATCAATTTTGATAAAGTCTATATGAAGAAAACTTAAAGAGCTGAATGTCAAAACAAACACAACTACTTCATGTTATATACTATTGATCTCTTGATATAAGTAGTTGGATACCTTTCATACCAAACATTAGGGGTAGACAGCCAAAATGAAGTGGTCTAAACACGCGATGGTTATTTTACTTGTCTGTAGTGAAGCTCATCAATGCTGTTCTTGGAATGATTTAGCTCAGACAGCCAAATGAATTCAAACCACTCTAATTCCGTTTAGCTTCGTTACTTGAGGGAATAGGTAATACGTTGAAACGAGTTTCGCAATTCATAAATAAACTGTCGATTTACAATTTACGCAGGTCATCCATGCAGATAGCCAGAATTAGAATGATTTGATGTAATTCGGCTCCTTGAGCTAAATCAAACGGGATACAAGCTCACCTTAAACAAGAGAAATGACTTTTCCGGTGTTTTGATCACTCCTACTTGATTATCAAGCTCTACTGGTTGATATGAGTAGTATACATTCACTCAGTCAATAAGTAGTATATAGTCTCGTGAAAAGCGAAAGTATTTATTGAAGACGCTGGCAAATTTCTAGATGCAATGAATTACAAGGATTAAAATGCCCTTTATGAAATTCTAGCTCAGAAGTTTCACCAGTATTTAATGGAGTGTGTACAATTCTTGTCGACAACCAATACAAGTTGTTGCTATATTGATATTTATCACTCTCTTGGGTTCTGATTGAAACTTAAGTTTTCAGCAGCATATCCCCATTCCAACATGTTTTCCAAATTATTTCCCACCTGAATTCACAATTACACTTTA